AATTTCCGTTAAACGTATTACCATAGAGGTAACTCTAATACCAACAATCAATACGAAACTAACGATTTTAAATTGGCTCACTACTTGACTAGCCTATTGGTCCCAAGCAAACGATTAACGTATCCCATTCTAGTCGAAATTCTAGTACTGCGCAATGTTTGTTTTGATTCGCTATGAAAGTTTGACAGATAAAATGAGGGGTTATTGGTTTTTCCTATGCTTCGAGGGGTGAATCGATTAGCTTGGGACCGAAGAGAGTACCAGAGCTGAGCCAAAAAGTTGAGCACGTTATTTCGGGACCTTCTAGTCTTAGAGTTATCTCTATGCTAATACCCCGGACAGACTATGGCTTATATCATGTAATATAGGCTGGCTTGCAATGAGCACTCATACATCTAGTTTTCACTGATATATATGAGTGCTCATTGCAAGCCAGCCTATATTACATGATATAAGCCATAGTCTGTCCGGGGTATAAGAATAGCAGGTCCCGAAGAAACGTGCTCAACTTTTTGGCTCAGCTCTGGTACTATCTTCGGTCGCAAGGTAATCGATTAACCCCTCGAAACATAGGAAAACCCCTCATTTTATCTGTCAAACTTTCATAGCGAATCTAAACAAACCTTGTGTAGTAGTCGAATTTTGACTAGAATGGGGTACGTTAATGGTTTGCTTGGGACCAATAGGCTAATCAAGCAGTGAGCCAATTTGAAATCGTTAGTTTCGTATTGATTGTTGGTATTACCACAGACAAACACACGTAACTCTTTGAAAAAGTTTTTCTTGAAAACATAGTATCTCAAAACATAGGACCTCAGAAACGACATCTCTCGGGCTTCTCGCGGAAAACAAGCTTGCTCGCTAACTGGCAAACAATATTGCATAAAACTTCTATCCAGATTTCCATGCTCGGTAATGGCGGCCTGTTTGTATGAATAAATGTATCCTTCACTGTGCTTTTTGACACTAACTGGAGGGCGTATGTTATTCCGTTTTCTTCTGTTCCTGGGAGAAAGAAAGGGAGGGGTCTAAATCCGAACCTCCAGATAGTGTCAAAAAGCACAGCGAAGGATACATTTATTCATACAAACAGGCCGCCATTACCGAGCATGGAAAGCTGGATAGAATGTATAGAAACGTCAAAGTGATCCGATTCCAGCGCTGCGGTGAGTAGTTCGCGGAACTGATAATATTCAAATCAACCGTTAAATGCTTGAACAAAGATACACAATGAAGAGTTACGTCTGTTTGTCTGTGGTATTACCACTGACAAACCGACATGAATGACCATAGCAAAAGCAATAAAATGTCTGACCATGATGTCACACTACTGACATCTGGCTCCGTGTTCGCGGTAAATATTTAGCTAAGCCATGAACCCGCATGCACAAGTTATGAACTAGTTCGTGTCTGATCTATTCTGGACAAATTATTTTCATCTTGTCGGTGGTGTTACTAACAGTCTTGTAAGCGGTCACGGTAGTCGACACATTTTCTGTGATAATCGACTGCTTTTGCCTCCGACACTTGGAAAACAAGCTATCATAGTACAGTACCAAACTCAAATGTCATACGACAGGCTCTGTCATATGACACTGTCGCCGAAGACCGTCACGAATGTATGTATTTTAGTTTTTCTCATAATAAGAGCTGCTGATGTTGTGCTTGTGTGAATTCTGAAAATAGCAAGCAATGATGTCCTAGGAATAACATTTCTGATCAGAAATGGTTTAATTTACACCAAATTGAGGAATTACTCATGTCATATGATAGTTATTTGATAATTTTCTCTTCTCTCGAATGTTATTCTACCGGTTGTGTTGTGTGAGAGAGACGACGGTAGAGCATGAGTGTAGGAATAAAAACAGACTGTCGCGCACGACAACGAAGCGAGTGTAGTAAAAAACGTCAACAGTTTCAACCCCTGGTTACTAATAGTACGTTCAGACTACAGAGTTATAACAACAATCAATACGAAACTAACGAATTTAAATTGGCTCACTACTTGACTAGCCTATTGGTCCCAAGCAAACGATTAACGTATCCCATTCTAGTCGAAATTCTAGTACTACGCAATGTTTGTTTTGATTCGCTATGAAAGTTTGACAGATAAAATGAGGGGTGATTGGTTTTTCCTATGTTTCGAGGGGTGAATCGATTAGCTTGGGACCGAAGATAGTACCAGAGCTGAGCCAAAAATTTGAGCACGTTATTTCGGGACCTTCTAGTCTTAGAGTTACCTCTATGGTTATAACATGTTATAGTGCTATCTTGATGGTGGTTTCTGTGTTGCAATTATTTGACAACCGTTATAACATGTTATAACTCTCCAGTCTGGACAGCGTTTAACGGATTAACTCTTGGATCCTCAGTACTTGTTTTAAAAATATAAAATTAAAAAACATTCATTGCTGTAAAACATATTTAGGATATACTTTTAAAAACTATCAATGTTACCCCGTTTTACGGTACCTATCTAAGCTTCTCCGTCTGCTCATTAGTATCATACATATGCTTCCTTGATAATTTAGCTGAGTAACTATTGAATGACAATCTAAATACTATTGACGTTAAACAAAATCCTTTTTAAATGGATTTGATAAGTTTAGACTGTATGCAATATCTGTTGTTCTCCGTTTTGTTCTCCACAAGGAACGAAAATCAATTATTTGATTCATGTGTTTCACTTATAAATTTTTGCCAAAACATCAGCCTTATACATTCCATAAGACAAACCACATAGGTCCTAAAATAATGCATTTCATTTGACACATGATCTTCATTAACTTTTGGCATGGCGTCTGCTTATTAGTTGACTTACACATTTTAAAAATAATCAGCAATAGAAATTTGCCAAAAGGTATAAGGAGATTTCTATCCGTGCATGGTTCTAACACTTCTTTTTTTTTCAAAAACATATTTTTGCATCTCAAAACATCGATGAACTTTCTGATGGGAATAAAGGCTCGATGAACATTTCAAATTGTCCTATCTGCTTTGATCAATTCTCTTCATCGACTTTCTCTTTTCATAACCACTGCTATGTAAACAGATTTTGCGCAAATTCTACCACATAGTTTGATAAAGGAAGTTCTTATCTAGCGTCCAAAACGTCAAATACAACAGGGAAAGGTTTTGCAGCTGAGTTATTGACGAAAGAGAAAGTCGATGAAGAGAATCGATCAATGCAGATAGGACCTTTTGAAATGTTTATCTAGAAGGGTTATTCGACACTCGCTACTATTGGCGTTGACGGCGACTCTGTAGCTCTTTATACCCCGTTCACATTACAGTGTATATCACGTGATATACGCTGTCTTGCTATGAGCACTCATACATCTAGTTTTCACTGGAAATCCTATGTATGAGTGCTCATTGCAAGACAGCCTATATTACGTGATATAGGCTGTAATGTGAACGGGGTATTACTCCTATGAGAAAATCCATAAGCAAACGTCAGACTGTGCGTGAAACATGGCGGACTTTGTACTATCCTTTCGCTCCACCGAAAATTCCCATAAGAAACTGTCTACATTTGCTGGAAGGGCAAATTTTTCGACAGTGCCGTCAACGCCAATTAATGAAATAATTAATTTGGGTTATTAGCGGATTGCTTGAATAAAACAACAAAAAAAGTTATCTTGGTACATGTTATACCTGTGATCTTGACATGACTAGGGGATGGGTACTTAAGGGGATTAGATTTTGGATAATTCTTTAGTAGGAATGACACTGATTAAGACTGCACATTGCAGGCAAAATACGTATCTGTTATCGATACCAAAATTAATTAAGTGGAATTAAATGGAATAATATTAAGTTGTTTGCCAAAAATGACACGCGGCCTTTGCTCTACACTGTACACAAACATCATCCTCTGATCGAATGAAACCTCAGACCATTCAAAACAAAAGACCGAAATCGCTTTTTCGAATGATAGCTGCAACCGGATGACGGTTGTTTTGAAATCAGATGATTTACCTCTCGAATACTGGATGAAACTTGTTATGAGAAGGATAGGGCCTTCAGTTGAAATGCGTAATGCTCTCTGCAGAATGACTGTCATACTAAATGGAAATGCATACCCTAATAAAAAATAACCATAAACGAACGATAACCCAAATCATTGAACTATTCCACAAATGGTTTGGATGATACCCAGAACACGTCGTTAAGCAAATTAACCATACAATTTTTATTAGGGTATGGTATTGGTTCAGCCCCATAACGCAAATCATTCAAAACGATGATGTAAACAATTCTATCGAACGTCATTTGCTGATCTGAGCTGACAAACGAGGTGGAAGCATATGCCTCGCTATCAGAGCTGTTACGAACAAAGGTAAAGGATGAAAACCAATGTTTGGCTAATTCGTGGTGGAGGAGGTTTTCTCCACCACGAAAATTTTTTGTATCCATGATGGAATGGCTTATTATGGCTATTCAGTATGGAATTGTACATAATCAAATTATAAATTTAATTAAAAGCACTTGCATGTCACACTATTCTTAAATGTTTGTCCTATGAGTGCCGTATGTTTTATAGCTAATTTTCAAACGAAAATCATCCTGTATTTGGATGACAGTCATATGGATGTTCATCATCTGACGACGAATTCAACCATAAGAAAATCATCCGAAATTCGAATGCATATTGTTAAAGGGCTCGAGCAATGCAATAATCATTCGATGTTTTGGTGCAGTGTCCATTTGTGGATCAAACAATCAATTAACTTAATTCGTCTTCTACCGCGACTGATGCGGTATTTGCGTAACAATTTTTAATTTAATCGCTACACTTTTGATTTTATGTATCAATATTGCAAATTCATCACTCAGTTTGCGGTAGAAAGCGAATCAAGTTAATAATTATTGAGTTTTTGATCGACAAATGGCAATAGGACCCATTCAAAAAGATCTCCAGAAAAAATAAGGAATGAAACCGATTCAACGAAAGTCGAAACGAGATCGCCCGTTATTCAATTTTGCACACCCCTGTTTCCTTCCTCGCATTTCCTGAATGTTCCGTGTCTCTCAGACAAATCAACAAAAATGTAACAGCAACAGTAGTTTGTTGTACAATCATAAATACAAGAAGGTTAGTCGTGAAATTAGTGGTTCAATAAATTCTATCTAAAGGAAAAAAATAAGTTTTTGCCTATTCCATCGGTTAGTACTCCTTCGCGTCGGAAACTAGAAATTTGATTTGAGAAAGATACATGCTGATACATCAAAGTACACAAAAAAAGTTGTTGAATATTTCATCCAAACTGCTGCAATCAGGTCAATCCATCGGTTGTGTAAAGAACGTTGTACGATGTACATCGATTTTAAGAACAAAATTACATCCATTGATGTAATATTGTATCTGCTTTTTGCTATTACATTATTATTAAATATCTATTAATGTAATTCAAGCTGATGTATGAAATTTTCATACATCAGCTTGAATTACATTAATAGATATTACATTTATTTTTGCTGTGTACCTACTGCTAAAGAAAACTTCCGGCAAAGTCGCAAACGTAAACAATGACCGATCATTAATAATAATAATAAATTATCGTTTAGTAGAATAATAATGGTATACCTTATTACATAGTTCTTCCTTTTAATTCTACTATTATATCATTCACTAGTCACTTTAACTACACGGTGAATGAGAACGACCCAAATTTAAGTTTAGTTAACTCATAAATCACAAAGTGCAGTGATGGATAAAATTTAATTTGCCTCATGTTTTCCTAGGTTTTCCAGGAAAAAAAATCCCGAATATGAGAAAAGTAAAGATTGCATTCACTCAGTCTATTGGTTCTACTCCTAGACAATAAAATATTCGTCACTTTCCTCATTTTCCGGCAGATTTATGAGGTTTTTACACAGGAAACCAAATTTACTCATCGCTGAGTTCCTGCACTTTTGGCAATTATGAGTGAACTACACTCAAATTTGGGTCGTTCTCATTCGCTGAATTTCTGCACTTTATGTGATTTAAGAGTTCAAAATTTGGGTCGTTCTCATTCGCCGTGTAGAAGTATTCTATCCCTAAAATAGGTAACTAATAGCGAATTCGTTTATTGGGTCTGCTTGTTTTCTGACAAACGTCAGTTTGCTCGTTTGTTTTTAAAACCTAGCGCAGCTTGAGGTTCGCACTGACAAAAAGTTCGGTTTCGCACTGGGTTGGAACTGGTTCCAACCCCGATAATAAACGAATTATTCGTAAGTCTTTCGTAGGTAGATTCCAATGCACGCAAAAATTACGGAATTAGTCATTGTTTTTGTTTGCTACTCAACTCGCCACGACCAACATTGACATCACATTGGGTCATGTGTGGATATTGAATTTAAATATTCCCTTTTATTTAGATCCGTACGATGGCAACACATCACACCGCCATCCCCATCAAGCCAGGGGAAATGGCCTCGAGCGACTTCTACCGGGATAAGTACGCACATTTTAGCATCCACGAAGAAACACTCAAGGATCAAGTACGAACGCTGGCCTACCGAAACGCTATATTGCAGAATATTCACCTTTTCAAGGGTAAAACCGTCCTGGATATCCGCTGCGGTATGGGCCTAATGTCGATGATGGCTGCTCGTGCCGGCGCAGCCCGAGTGATCGGTGTCGATTGCTCCAACGTGATCGATCACGCCCGTGAGATTGTAAAAGCGAACCGCCTTGGTCACGTGATCACACTGATTAAGGGAAAGATGGAGGCAATTGAGCTTCCTGGTTGTATTAAACAGGTGGACATAATCATTTCCGACTGGATGGGTCAGTGCTTGTTCAATGGAGCAATACTGAGCACGGTGATCTATGCGCGCAATAAGTGGCTTAAACCGAAGGTGGGAATCATGTTCCCGGATCGCTGCTCGCTGTTTGTGGCCGCCATCGAGGAACGTGAGCGAAAGGATGAAAAAATCAACTGGTGGGATGATGTGTACGGATTTGACATGAGTGCGATTCGCAAAGATGCCATCAACGAACCGCAGGTGAATGAGGTCGATCCCGGGCAAATCGTAACCAATTCCTACCTGATCAAGGAGATCAACATGTATACAGTGGTCTGGCAGGATTGCAACTTTGTGTCCCCTTTTCATCTGAAGGCAATGCGAAACGATTTTGTCCAGGCACTGGTGACCTATTTCAACGTGGAGTTCACCAAGTGTCAGGGACGGTTGGCCGTCAGCACCTCGCCCGATTCCCCCTTCACTCACTGGAAGCAGACTGTGTTCTTTCTGGACGAGTTTTTGACGGTCAAGAACGGAGAGGAGATCCATGGTACGTTTGCGATAAAACTGAATGGCCGGAAGCAAAACCGGGAGCTGGAGATCGACATAGATGTGCGCTTCGAAGGGGAGCTGTCGCAGGTGACCGAGAGTAATCACTACCGAATGCGGTCGTAGCAGGTATGTTCGAGAGGTGGATACATTCGGCATAATGTTAATGTTGCCTGATTATGAACTATACACTGAAGAAGTATGCATAGGTATCATTATCGAGAAGGTTTGTGGAACCTTACAAAACTTACTTTTTTATGTATCTTTTTCTCCGTAGGTATTCCACACTGGACACCAAACGTCGCAAAAAAGTATGTTCAGGTTTATTTTTGAACAATTGCGCCTATTTGCGGTTTACACAAATACCGTTTTTTTCTCGAAATTCTCATGATAGTTTTGAAAGATGATTACTGTTGCCCGTTCACCTCTTGACCTCCATTCACCGCTATTTTTTTTTTTCAAAATTTGTTGATAAATTTCACAAAATAAGTTTTCTACTTTTTTCCGACTAATTCTGATAATGATTTGTAACGTTATTGCGCTGATTATTGTCGTAAAAATTACTTTTGTTTACATCCATATGAGTGGTGATTGGAGACCCAGCCTCAATTGAGGGTTCCGTTTACAGCCCACTATACAAATAAACATAAAATAGTCATTGCCAGCAAAATTTCATAAGGAACGCGACAGTACAATCAACATATTAAACCTCGACAACTTTCAACCCATGCCTAGATAATCCCCCTTATTCTGCGAGTCACGTGACTCTCTGTCACCGGTAAGGTGACAATTGTCACCTCGTGTGAGGTGACTCTCCATGTAAATCAAATGGAGAGTCACCTCACACGGGGTGACTATTGTCACCTCACCGGTGAGAGAGAGTCACGTGACTCGCAGAATAGGGGGGAATGTTTAATGGTTTGAAAATGAAAAATAAAAAAGGATATATTTCCACAGTGGAATGAGCGGTGAATGGAATCCTTGTTTTCATTTACTAATGAGTCTCAAATTCATTATTGATAGCATTTTTTAAGTTCTATGATTTTACCTCATTCCTATAATAATGACCTTCAAGATAATGTAAACATTTTTTTTTTTATAAACCTATACAAATAATGTTACTACCGTTGTAAACATAATTTTGCTCTAAGTGAGCGGTGAACGAACACCACACGGTATAAACTTACGGGAAAAACTGAAATTAATTTCAGTACCAACTCGGTAACAGCCGCCTTTGGGTATGCAATCGCACTGCTGCTGATGAATGTTGATCCTCTATACTCTCGTGATGGATTAAGCCTAGAAGTATGCAACCTCGCTTTCGCTTTGCTCGCTATAAAACGACCACTTTATATCGTTTTGCGTTCTTCTGACTTGCTTCTTTTCGTATCACATACACTGCACGTAACGTGCTGTCTTCTTTTAACAACTTTGTCGTTAGTTTCTAATAAATGAAAAGTTAAAAGTATGAATAAGGTACGGGGAACGGAAAACGGGGATGAAAATCAATAGAAATCGACAAATACCAACGAAACCAAAGTATCGTTAATCGGGAATAAACGGTCAAAGAGGGTGGAAAAATATAGGGACAAACAAGTGACAACATAAGATAAACAACCGAAGACACTCAAAACTTTCAAATTAAATTATATGATTTTTATTTTCGTTTTTTCCTAGTTTATAAATTTTATATATAAAATTTGCAACATTTAAAGTATAATACACATAACAAATGATTTCTAGAATTGTGTTTCTCTGTTTTGCCTTTGCCTTTTTCTCTTCTTCTGTTCACTTATTCTGTTGGTATGTAAACTTTTTGTTTCCATCAACATGTTTAATTGTCTATTGTTTACTATTGTTATTTCCTTTTGTTTTAAAAGTATTAGAACTATTCCTTTTATCATTTTTTTTTTGTCATTTTCATCGGAACCTGTGTGTGTGTGTGATTTATCCGAGAAAATAATTATTTTCCGAGATTGTTTTACTTTGCTTTCTTGAAACCAATGAGCTCCCAGTAAATGGAGACTCCGTGGTCGATTCGATTGGACTTTATTTCTTACGATGGTTGCGATTTTCTAAAAATCTAGTACTGCTCCGGATTAGTTTTGAGTGGATTTTATAAGTTCAATGGTTCTATTCCTACAGTTTTCCATCTCCGTTTGTCTTTTGCGTCCTGAAATTGTTTGTTCAGAAACTTCACAACACGTGTGTTGTTGTAGGTATCGTTTGGTTCATTGCACATATGTTTTTGCTTTGTTTAGTGGTTGTCATATTTATAAACTAGTACTTTCACACTGAGAATGGAAAACCGATTTCAGTTGTTTTCCATTCATTCAAATCCAAAGAGGGAACAGGCAGTCGAGGGGGCGCGGGTGTTGTGGTGGTGTAATGTTGCTTCCGGAAAGCCTTAGCACGAGAAATGTACAGTTTGAAACGGAGAAATGGGTACAATCTGCGCAACGGCGGTGATGCAGTACTAGATTCGATGCGATTCGAACTCGTATACAATGAAATTTTGACTTTTTTTTCGCTAAGATGTTTGTTTTGTACTAGCACAATTGAGTAAATTTTTGCTAAACTATTTAATGCACCAATTTTTGCTGGATTCCTTTGCTCGCACTCTAACAATCAATTTTGTTTTTTTTTATTTAAATTTAAACATATAGATGGCAGTGTCGAATGGATTATTGGTAGCGGTAGGCATCATTGTTGATTATTGATGATTTTTTTCATTTACAAATCGATCGCTAGAATCTAGTACTTCATCACGGATGTTCGACCATCTGGAGAGGGGGCTCGAACGCAGCAATTTTACCCATTCCGGGATCACAATAGGTAACACGTAAACAATTTAAAAATTATATAAAAACTCAATTTCCAAGCATATTTACACTTATTGTGAGGAAACCAAAATAATTTTCAGATACAAAAAATATTTTTTGTTTGCATCGATAAACAATAAATTAATGAGATCAAGATTTTAAAGAAACTTCGTTTATTCTCTTTCAAAATTCTTGTCGATTTTGTGTTTGTATGTGTGTGTGTGTGAGAGTGTGTGGGTGTTTCGCTTTGTATGAGTGAGCGCGTGTGTGTATGTCTGAATATGCGTGTATGTATTTTGTATGAATCTGCTTCTTTCCTAGCTCTTTTTGATTTTCCGTTTTTCTTCATATCACTTTTGATTGGACAAACATTCCCTTAAGAACGAAGGCTTACGGTTAAAAAGTAAAAACACAAATCGTAAAGGTATAAAACAGCGCTTACGACACGGGAAGGGCAGTGAGTTGTTTTTTTAAAGTAGGTTTAAAAAGAAATAAAATAGCATTTACCGTAAAATAGAGAAATAGGGTAGTTTACGAAAGAAAGCGATTCTCTTAACACGAAATACTTTCACTTAAAACAAAAAAAAAAAGATAATTTTTACACTTGATTACACAGCTGATTGCATTTAGCAGATAAAAGTTGAACCTAAGCCTAAGCGCGCCCTAAAATACCTAACCTAATGTAGTACAAAAAATTTACATGGAAATTTACATTCTCAGTAGTAGTCGTAGTGGCCGTGTTTAACTAATTCAGGAAGTGAGTTCCGAAAGGGGGATTACTCTTAAATAAAAAAAAAAAAACTTCTAAAATTATCTCGCTTTAGCAATAATAGATTACACACAAAAACAATCACTCACTACTGAGGTACTAGATTCCTGCCTTCATCAGTATCATTCCGCTCCGTGGATCTCTAGCACTGCAGCGCGAGGTTGACGGTTGTTTGCAATAATAATTGTTGATTTGTTTGTATTTGATTTGTACTTCATTCTTGTTTTTCTTCTCTTTTATCCATTTCATTTTTGTCTGATTAGCTGCTTCCGTTTGGCGCGGGATTATACAAATCATTTTTTTTTTCTGTTACTCATAAAAATCAATAGTTAAAAATAAACAAAACATCAAAGCGGACAGTTGCGTAGCTATTTTTCTTTTTCTCTTATTGTCTTTTTTTCTTCCAATGTTTCCTCTTTCCGTGTCCATATATTCTAGTGATTCCATTTTCGACTTTTTCCTGTTTCTGTCTGTCAAAGAGGATTCGGGTTTTCTTTTGTTTTTGATCTATAACTTAAATAAATTATAATTTACAACGCGAAAATAATTTTATACAAACTATCATACACAGAATGCTTAAACTTAAATAAAGAAGATCCTTTTTAAAAATAAATATCATAATACAAAAACCGAAAAGTAAAAAAAAAAAATAAACGAAAGATCCTTAGCACGATTCTGTACAGAAAAAAAAAACATAAATGGTAGGAAGTAGTAGATTATCCATTTTTTTGCATTTATACAAAGTAGACCGCGATGGGGGGACCGTTGCCGGAGCAACGATCGGAAACCGGACTAGTGTGTGTCTGTTTGTTTTGCTTTGATTTGCTTTCATTTTGTCACCGATGCGGTTTATCTTGCTCAGAAGCGGCCGGAAGGGAGCGCCGGTGGAGGCACCTCCGATCGCTTCTCGTACCTGTTCTATGTTCCTGAACAATCAATTTCGATAATATCCTTCGGAACGTCGACAAACTGATAGACCAGCCGTTGGCCGTCGACCTTGGCCAGGATGCCCCGCTGGTAATAGTACCGCAGTGCCCGGCCCATCGTTTCGTAGTTCATGTCCGGTTTGTTCTTGTGCATTCCCCACAGTTTGGAGACGGCCTTCGAGTCGACCAGCTTGAACACGCCCTTATCCCGGTTGGTCCACTTGATGAACCGCGGGCAATATTCGCGATCCTGCAGCAGCTTGAGCAGGAACTCCCACAGATAGGTGGTGGAGCCTTCGCGGGACTTGCGCTTGACGCCCATCTCCAGCTTGGGTTTCTTGGGCTTTTTCAGCTTCCGAGGTGGGAATCCCAGTTCCAGCATGTAAGACAGATCGTCCGGACAGCTGGAGGAAACACTCTGCGCGTGGTGGTGCAGCCCGTTCACCAGACCGTTGGCCATCGGACCACCGGTTCCGTTCCCCACGTGCGCTCCCGGATGTTGACCGCCCAGATGGGGATGATGTGGATGGAGGTGATGTTGGCTCATGACGTTCAGCCCGTTGCCACCGGTGGGTTGAGCTCGCTGCGATGGAGACGCCGACGGGAAGTGCGACGTCGGATAACCGGCCGCCGCCGCCGCGTTCATCGAGTGCAGGTAGTGATAGTTGTCGGTAACTGGAAACAAGGAAAACAAGGGTTATTTTTACACTTCTCAAGTGGGTTGGGTTTGGAAAAATGCATAATCACAATCAGAGCATCTGCGCGGGGAAAAATCCTTGACGGTGACATTGAACTTGCTGACGTTGTTTATGTCATGCCGCCGCCCCCCCCCCTTATTCCCCATTCCTGGTTCTATTATTACTTTTCTAACGCTATATAGGTAGATAGTACGCGATTTGGTTTCTGTTATCGCAGTGCACCCTTCTTACATTACGGACGGGGGTATTGTGTAATTTAAGCGCTTGCCACCCTCACACTGGTTGTGTTGATAACGGGAAATCGCGCCGTCGTCGTCGTTATCAAACCAAAGTGAGTGAGGGGGGGGGGGGGGGCTTATCTTGCACTCTACGAATAGTATAACATCGACAAACATCATACGTGTGGAAAGTGGGAGTGCATCCGAATGCACAGGGGCTCAGCGTTTATTGACACCACCCGAACCCCTCATTTGTGTATGCTTACAGTACCGGACATAAGTATGTAGAATTGCGATTTTTCCACTGCAAAGCAGTTTAAAACTTGGTTGCTGGTTGATCAACTTAACTCCAATAGCGAATGTGTGAAACCGAACTTTTTGTCAGTGCGAACCTGATGAACCTCAAAAAAAAAATCAGGTTCGAACCTAGTCGTTTTTCAGGTTGCTTGGTTGGTGGTGAACCTAGGTTGGTAACTGGCGTTCAAACTATCAGTTTGACAGCTCTTAGGTTACAACCCGGGTGAGGGTTCCCTTCAAACTAAAACGGCATTAGAAAACAAGCAGAGCCGATCTTGATACCCGATCCAGGTTGGAACTGAATAATAAACAAATTCGCTATCAATAAAAGTAGGGACGTCTGTCAAAAGTAGTTCCAACCTAGGGGCAAGACAGCTGTGCTCAGAGTTAATTTATTTGCGGCGAGTAAATTTGAGCTACTCACATTTACTCAAAAATAATCAAAGTAGTCTCGATTTTCTGATCAAAGAAAATATCGTCTGACAGCATATTAGGTTTTCAATATAAACACAGTTTTCAAGCATTAAAAGATTCAAGGCAGACCAGGGATCGATTGGTTAAAGTGTTGTCGTTGAAGATTTCTGATGATGTGGTGGTGTTATTTCAGGACTACATGTTGGTAGTCGACCAGTTATTTGAGAATTTTCTGCTCTGTGAACATAAATAGCTTGCACAGTCTGTAAAAGATCCCTCTTATCTTGTTGAACTAATTTCAGACATGAAAAGTACAACTAGGTTCTAAAGTTATAACGTTTAACTATTCGTTCGTACTGGCAAGTGTAGTAGCAAGAAACTCCTCGAGCTGGGTCTCAGGGTTTCCTTATTACTTGGGAGTCCAAGGGACTTCGTGAACAAGATGTGCAGTGTACGGTCACCTGACTAGAAATCATTGCGGAGTATGAACTGAAAGATAAGATATGGATTGGCGGGGAAACTACTGTTTTTTTTTTGGGTTTTCTTCGGCACGTACCACTGCTACCTTGCTGCTGATGCCGACGAACTGCAATTACTCGCTGCTACTGCTGTCGACGAACGGTGACTGGTGTTTTCCGAACCTAAAGGGTTATACGGTCAAAATTTGGTCAATATCAACTTGACGTATTTCTTTCAATTTTGCATTTAAAAAACCTGAACACCCCTCATTTTGAAGGTGTGTGTGTGTAGAATGTTGCTCCTATTTTGATTTTGGAATTCACTCTTCAGTTGTCAAAATGCCGTCCAAGCAAGAAGAGCAGCGTATCAAAATTTTGCTCGCGCATCGCGAAAATCCGAGCTACTCGCACGCAAAGTTGGCAAAATCGCTAAAAGTTGCCAAATCACCGTTACAAATGTAATTAAAGTGTTTGGGGAACGTTTGTCGACAGCCAGGAAGTCTGGATCGGGGGGAAATCGAAAACCGGAAGCCGCTGAGACGACAAAGAGAGTTGCCGGTAGTTTCAAGCGAAACCCTAACCTCTCTCTCCGAGATGCCGCAAATAAGCTGGGTGTATCGTCTACAACCGTGCATCGAGCCAAAAAACGAGCCGGACTATCGACTTACAAGAAGGTAGTGACTCCAAATCGCGATGATAAACAAAATACGACGGCCAAAGCGCGATCCCGGAGGCTGTACACGACGATGCTGACGAAGTTTGACTGCGTGGTAATGGACGACGAAACCTACGTCAAAGCCGACTACAAGCAGCTTCCGGGACAGGAGTTTTATACGGCAAAAGGAAGGGGAAAGGTAGCAGATGTTTTCAAGCACATGAAACTGTCAAAGTTCGCAAAGAAATATCTGGTTTGGCAAGCCATCTGTACCTGTGGCTTGAAAAGCAGCATTTTCATAGCTTCCGGGACTGTCAACCAAGAAATTTACGTGAAAGAGTGTTTGAATAAACGTCTGCTGCCTTTCCTGAAGAAACACGGTTGTTCCGTACTGTTTTGGCCGGATTTGGCATCTTGCCATTACGGTAAAAAGGCCATGGAGTGGTACGCCGCCAACAACGTGCAGGTGGTTCCCAAGGACAAGAACCCTCCCAACACGCCAGAGCTCCGCCCAATTGAGAAATACTGGGCTATTGTCAAGCGGAACCTAAAGAAGACCAAAAAAACTGCTAAGGGCGAGCAGCAGTTCAAGGCAAACTGGCTTTCTGCGGCGAAGAAGGTGGACAAGGTGGCTGTACAAAATCTGATGGCAGGGGTCAAGCGTAAGGCCCGGCAATTCGGATTTGGAAAAGCGGAAGCCTAACTGAATATTTTTCCTGAATTTTATACTAATTGAACTTGAAAAAGAAATTTAATTTGATTTTTTAAATAAAAGATTTCACCGATTTGCACGCATTTTCCCTTGACCAAATTTTGACCGTATCACCCTTTATGGGGAATGGTGGTTTGACTGCACGCCGGTTTGACGGGGCTTGTCATTCGTGTGTGACTTGGAAGCCTTCCAAGCGTCTTCCCTCGTTGGCAAAAATTGACACGGCCTATGAAGATGTCGGAGTGACCGTGCCAAAAAGAGAATGCACCTTTTCGGTTAGAGGTAACTTCTCCGAGTTTCAAACCTCCTTCGTGGTCAGTCGGACCAGAGGTTGGAATTGGTCTTTGACTGTTTGGCGAAGTGAAGCTTGATCTGAGGTCCTGATCAGTCCAACATGGAGGTATCTGGTGTATAACACACGAACGCCTGATACATGTAACCGTACTGTTATGAACCTTCAATTCGATGTTTTCTTAATTGCACCATGTGAAGGAGATCACCGCCAGGCTTGATAGGGCCTCAATCACGAGTCTGAAATGAGCCTCACAGCTTGTGTGGGAAGGGGGATGAAACGGGAGTGAGGTTTGCTGCGACTCATTGTCATGTTTTCTATCACACGCTCTTGCTCTCATCGTGGGTGAACTCTGAGCTTTTTGCCTTGAACAAAAAAGTCATCCGGAGCATCTCACGTCAAATTATCCTCTCGCTTGAGTCTCTCACCCTCTCTCTCTTTCGAGAAGTTTTAGTATACTTCTTCCATATACCTGGTGCCACTCACTCGAGGCGAGGGCTGCCCAAACTTACAGGGCAAGGGTATTTTAAAACCTCCAGTTAGTTTGAGAAATTTCATCAAGCCTGGACATCGCTCTCGAGCAGACGGCTCTAATCGCTAAGAAGAGATTCCCTTCCCGGTTTGACAGACTGTGGCCTTGCCGTCGTCGACCGCCTTCGTCTGAAGGAAGCGCCGGTGTATCGGGACCAGCTCCACAATCCATCATACCAGCCCATTACCAAAACACCACACCGCTAAACCAAACCGCCATTGCACGACAGCCAACGAACGGTAGACGCGCTAGTCGCTGGTAGACCAATCAGCCTTTCATCGTCCACTATCGCCAGAATCGTTCTGAAATTTCAGTGAGCGCTCGCTGGACTGCATTTGTCGTAAAGTATCCAACACACGAATGCTCACTCCTAAGTGTATTGAGGAATGTTTGGACAATATAGTGGTTAAGTTGATCCACTCCGGGTTTTAAATAATTTGAAAGCTTGAGTACGCGAAGCCCCTCCAGTTTTCCCGGTAGTGCGCCGACACTGCGACACAGTTCGCAGAGTTTCATGCTGCTGAGTCGTTGTCGAGCAGAACATTAGTTTCATACAGTATAAGGCAATGGTGGCTTATCTAGGTGGCCATCTACGCCGTTCATCTTCTCCACATCCCACTTCATGGATTGGGAGTTTGTTGCCACTTTTTTAGATTCTACCACCCAGGATATAGTCCTTTGTCCATATCAACTGTTACACACATTCTGCTTCTACCAACTGGCTTGCATAAAACACCCATACAGTCGAAAGTTATATCTCTGAAAGATTAAAGATTATAGATTACATATAGTTTATAATTTTCCTTTTTTAATTAATACATACATCGAGGTTCATCATTGAAAACTGGAAAGCACGTCAACTTACTTTGCTTGACAGCATCGGTATCAACATTGTTTTCAATATAACAATCAGGTTGCTATGTGAATAAGGTATTGAGCAACACGAGTTACTCAGAGTTACTCAAAATTAACTCCGATTTCACTCATGATCGATAGCTGTCTTACCCCCAGGTTCCAACCGAACCGTCAAAATGCACTGCTTTGCTCGATTGGAACAACTTTTTTCAGTTTTGTTGTGACAGTCTTCCATACTTTTACCAAAGATGAATACTAAGATGAAACTGTCGGAAGAAAAACTTTCTATTTTAGTGTCTTCTTTCACGGTCCCTTTCATCCAATGAGAACCCCCCGTATTCATGGTAACTTTGTGGTTTTGCTGCCACCTCGGAAGAGATGAAATTTTGCGCTCATTTTTATCAAAACAATCACACCAAAATCAGAGATGTCCCATTTTTTAATTACTCGATTAACAACTAATCGATTATTTTTTGTTCGCTGTGCTGCCATTTTTCCACGAATGAGAGTGCAGCACATGTTTGAAACGATCGGTGATGATCCT